TTTTCATGAAAGTACAATTTTTTTAATTTGTACTTTTTACTAATAAAGGGAAATCAGAAAAAAATAATTAATTTTTTGGGTATTTTTATCATCATAGAATCTTTGGGTTGGAAGGGACCTTTAAAGGTCATCTAGTCCAACCACCAGAAGGTTCTGATTGTTCTTAAACAATTTTTCAACCTTAATTTAAAAAAATGAATTGTCCCTTACCAATATTATCAAGTAATATTATATTTAAGATATTTGCCTGTAATTGTTGAGAAATTTTTGTTGTCTTGTTTCCTCCAGGTAAACTACAAGCAAAGTATTATAACCTCTGTCAAACTCTTGGTGAATTAATCACTGCTCTGTATTAATATACTCCCCACACCTTGCACAATTTCTGAGCAATGGTGGAACTTTAAGGCTATTCCGGTTTTATTTTTATCTCCTCAATTCTTTTTCCCCACCCATCTCTATAAGGAGGTCAGGGAGAGGGAGGACTGTGGTCTGGGGGTGGCTGAGGAAGGCATTCACACCATTTACTTCAGTCATCCAGCTACTCAACCAGACAATACCGATCAGCTGCTCCTCTGAACTTATCCCAGGTCTTGCATTGCTGGACCATTCCATGGGTGCACACAATACAGGACAAGGTCCCAACTGCTTTTTAAACCGAACTAAATTCATCTACAAAGAGCACAGCTGCAACAGTTAGAATGTTTCATAGGTCTGCGATGGAAAACTCTTAACTGCCAGCTGAGTATTTCCAGCTCCACAAATGTGATAGTGCTGTATAGGAAGGTTGCTTGGAAAATGAAGTACTTGGAAGAATAGAAATGTTGGCTGGAAGGGACTGCTGAAAGTCATCTAGTCAAGTCTCCCATTTGAAGTAGACTGTTGCCAACATGAAGTCTGGTCTTGGAAACTACCAGGGATGGAGCTTCCACAGGTTCTCCATGCAACCTGTCCCAGTGATGCTCCACCTTCCTTGTGAAGGCGTTTTCCTGATGTCCAGCGTGAACCTTCCTCACTGTAGCTGGTGGCCGTTGCCCATTATTTATCACCTGCTGCTGCCAAGAATTGTTTGGCTCTGCTGTCTTGCCCATCCCCTGTCCTGCAGCTGCGTGTTGCCGTCCACTTGCCTGTTGGCCTCCTCTTACTGGCTGGAGCAGCCCCAAGCTCTGTCAGCCTCTCCTGGTGGCCATGTGTGCTAGGCCCTGACTAACAGGGTTACCCTCCAGTGATGCACATGACTTTCGTGTCATCCCTGTTGGACTGTGAGGCCAAATCAGGCCAGTTTGGGAGCAGCCTTACTGGGTACAGTAAGGAGGAGAACAATAATTTACCCTGTAAATGTACTGGGTCTTGCTGTGATGGAGTTAATTTTCTTCATGGCATCCCATATGTCACTGTGTTTTGGATTTGTGACCAAAACGGTGTTGCTAACACACCGATGTTTTAGCTATAGCTCGAAAGTACTTGCATAGCACCAAGGCTTTCTCTGCTTCTCACTCTGACGAGTGGGTTGGGGTGGGCAAGGGCCTGGCAGGAGTCATGACTGGGGCAGCTGACCCGAACTGACCACAGAGATATTCCGCACCATATAACATCATGCTCAGCAATAAAAATGGGATGAGGTGTGGAGGTGTTCCAGGGGGTCTGTTGCTCGGGGAGTGTCTGGGCATGTCAGGTGGTGGTGATTGCTTTTGCATCACTTCTTATTTTTCTTTGGTTTGTTTTCCTTTTTTCCCCCTTTTACCTATTAAACTGTCTTTAACTCAATCCACGAATTTTCTCACTGTTGCCCTTCTGATTCTCTCCCCCATCCTGCTGCGGGGGGCGGTGAGTGAGTGGCTGTGCGGTGCGTAGCTGCCATCCCGGGTGTGTCCACCACAGTCCCTTTTGCGGGGACTGTGTGGGATGCGTAGGGTTCAAGATAACGAAGCATTTGACTGGAGCGTGCTAGAGGGAATTTACTATACCTGTTTAGCTGTTGCTGGTTGCGATGTTTACTTACTTGTTCTTGATGCAGGTCTGTTTGATCCCTTACCTGCTCCGTGTCATGCACGCTTTCCTGCTGTACATCAAATTTGAGGGCTTGTTAAAGGCTGTGTTTGGCTTTTGCAGTTTGCTGTGCTGTGTAGCACTCGGTTGTGTTTTGCCCAGGAGAACGATGATGAAAGCAGTGGCCCTGAGCCTAATCTGGTATTTGGGCCTTGCGTTGCTGCCGTCCCAGTACTTCGGGAACCATCTTGTGGAGACAATTAACAATTACACTTTTTCCCTCTTTTCCTCCGAGAGACAGTTTGTGGAGGAAACTAAGAATCGCACCTTCCCTTTCACAGCCTGCAGCGTAGGTGCCTTCCACCTTGTTACAGTGAGTCTTCAGTATCTTGAACGTCCGCACGTAATCAGAATGCTCGCACTGGTGTATCTTAAGAATCTGTTTCCAACTTTTCCTAAGGTTAACTGACTATTTAGGAATAGCACAGAGGGATGTGCCCTGAGGAAATGTGGT